CAAACAGTTGAAAATGGCAGAGTTGGACGTCCATAGAAATAGTAAAGCTGAAGAAACCAATGAAGGTTCAAAGTCCTGTTCCGCGGAAAAAACTATCCTTTCGTTTTTAAACGTTTTTTTAAAATTATCAGTGTTATTTTGTTAGTTGTTTAACGCGGGTCAATAACAGCCAATAACGCCCCATGATGTCAGGGTAGAAGTATGGGTCCTGAACTCCAGATCCCAAGTTTCGCCCGCTCTTACGTCAACATGTTTGTCTGAACGTACACTAATATATATATTCGTATTTAAAAGGATATTTTTTTTATCATGAATACTTAAACAGTTATCTTTTGCGTTGTTGAAAGAGGAAGTTAGAGTACGTCGTTAAAATGCACATTAAATACAAAGTTAGGGTTAACTTCTGTGGTCTGCTGGGAATCTTCGGTTTCAAAGGACTTCCTAATGTAATTTTAAGATTGAGTAATAATTTCAAAAGTTTAATTCTGTCAAAAAGAGGAATTTCCTTTTCTGGTCAATATCTATTTATTCATTACAATGTACGATAAGTGAACGCCTTGTGTCAATGATATGTCATAACAGGACAGTACATGCAGGATGGTACATTGCCGCGTAAAGGTAATGTTTGACAAGTTGTTTTGCTGGGGTTATGTTTGACAAAGATTCCTTTATCTGATGTAATGTTTGACACAAGTTTGTTTAGCAATACAGGTTCCCGAACACGTGTTCCCCAATACGTGTTCCGCAATACGTGTTCCTCAATATGTGTTCCTCAATACGTGTTCCCCAATACGTGTTCCTCAATATGTGTTCCTCAATATGTGTTCCCCAATACGTGTTCCTTAGTACGTGTTCCCCAATACGTGTTCCTCAATATGTGTTCCTCAGTACGTGTTCCCCAATACGTGTTCCTAAATATGTGTTCCTCAGTACGTGTTCATCAATACGTGTTCCCGGATACATGTCCCCAATACGTGTTCCTAAATATGTGTTCCTCAGTACGTGTTCATCAATATGTGTTCCTCAATACGTGTTCCCCAATACGTGTTCCTCAAAACGTGTTCCCCAATACGTGTTCCTCAGTACGTGTTCCCCAATATGTGTTCCCCAATACGTGTTCCTCAATACGTGTTCCTCAATTGTGTTCTTCAATATGTGTTCCTCAATACGTGTTCATCAATTGTGTTCTTCAATACGTGTTCCTCAATATGTGTTCCTCAATATGTGTTCCTCAAAACGTGTTTCACGTGTGACACAAGTTTGTTTAGCAATACAGGTTCCCGAACACGTGTTCCCCAATACGTGTTCCGCAATACGTGTTCCTCAATATGTGTTCCTCAATATGTGTTCCCCAATACGTGTTCCTCAAAACGTGTTCCCCAATACGTGTTCCTCAGTACGTGTTCCCCAATATGTGTTCCCCAATACGTGTTCCTCAATACGTGTTCCTCAATTGTGTTCTTCAATATGTGTTCCTCAATACGTGTTCATCAATTGTGTTCTTCAATACGTGTTCCTCAATATGTGTTCCTCAATATGTGTTCCTCAAAACGTGTTTCACGTGTGACACAAGTTTGTTTAGCAATACAGGTTCCCGAACACGTGTTCCCCAATACGTGTTCCGCAATACGTGTTCCTCAATATGTGTTCCTCAATATGTGTTCCCCAATACGTGTTCCTCAATATGTGTTCCTCAATATGTGTTCCCCAATACGTGTTCCTTAGTACGTGTTCCCCAATACGTGTTCCTAAATATGTGTTCCTCAGTACGTGTTCATCAATACGTGTTCCCGGATACATGTCCCCAATACGTGTTCCTAAATATGTGTTCCTCAGTACGTGTTCATCAATACGTGTTCCCCAATACGTGTTCCTCAATACGTGTTCCCCAATACGTGTTCCTCAATACGTGTTCCCCAATACGTGTTCCCCAATACGTGTTCCTCAATACGTGTTCCTCAATTGTGTTCTTCAATACGTGTTCCTCAATACGTGTTCATCAATTGTGTTCTTCAATACGTTTTCCTCAATATGTGTTCCTCAATATGTGTTCCTCAAAACGTGTTTCGCAATACAGGTTCCCGAATACGTGTTCCCCAATACGTGTTCCGCAATACGTGTTCCTCAATATGTGTTCCTCAATACGTGTTCCCCAATACGTATTCCATAATACGTGTTCCTCAAAACGTGTTCCCAAATACGTGTTCCTCAATACGTGTTCCTCTATACGTGTTCCCGAATTCGTGTTCCTCAATATGTGTTCCTCAATACGTGTTCATCAATATGTGTTCCCCAATACGTGTTCCTCAATACGTGTTCCCCAATACGTGTTCCCCAATACGTGTTCCTCCATATGTGGACCTCAGTACGTGTTCCCCAATACGTATTCCGCAATACGTGTTCCTCAATACGTGTTCCTCAATACGTGTTCCCCAATACGTGTTCCTCAATATGTGTTCCCCAATACGTGTTCTTCAATACATGTTCCCCAATACGTGTGCCCCAATACGTGTTCCTCAATACGTGTTCCTCAATTGTGTTCTTCAATACGTGTTCCCCAATACGTGTTCCTCAATACGTGTTCCCCAATTCGTGTTCCTCAATATGTGTTCCTCAATACGTGTTCCCCAATACGTGTTCCTCAATATGTGTCCCTCAATATGTGTTCCCCAATACGTGTTCCTCAATACGTGTTCCTCAATACGTGTTCCCCAATTCGTGTTCCTCAATATGTGTTCCCCAATACGTGTTCCTCAATATGTGTTCCTCAATACGTGTTCCCAAATACGTGTTCCTCCATATGTGTACCTCAGTACGTGTTCCCCAATACGTGTTCCGCAATACGTGTTCCCCAATACGTGTTCCTCAATACGTGTTCCTCAATATGTGTTCCTCAATACGTGTTCCCCAATACGTGTTCCTCAATACGTGTTCCCCAATACGTGTTCCTCAATACGTTTTCATCAATACGTGTTCCCCAATTCGTGTTCCTCAATATGTGTTTCTCAATACGTGTTCCTCAATACGTGTTCCCCAATACGTGTTCCTCAATACGTGTTCCCCAATACGTGTTCCCCAATACGTGTTCCTCAGTACGTGTTCCCCAATACGTGTTCCTCAATACGTGTTCCTCAATATGTGGTATTCGTATCATAAAATCCAGCAGTAGTTTAAACACCTCTCTACAACAAATAAACACCCCCCAAAATGCATACTCGGAAATTAATCGTGTATATTTTTCCATCTATATTTAATAAAACACTTCAATCATAAATATTTCTCCTATGACAGGGGGCGTGCGCCACTAGCTTATTCGTAATTCTTTAACTCGGTGTATAAAAACCATCACAATTTGATACGCGATTTTAAAACGTAATTTCCTTATTAATAATCTGTTTGTAACAACCGTTATTCCCCTGCAATTAACAAATAAATGTCACATGTTTAACGCTTTCTCTACAATATAAAAACAGGACAAATTATTCTGACAGATGTACTTGTTAATTTCGAAAAATTGCCTCGGGTGTAAGTGCTTTGAGACAATTATCCTTGTAGAGGTATGTTGTTATGCCGATGAAGGCGTTTTCGAATACAGTAAACTACGGTTATAACGAACACGCTTATAACGAACTGACGGATATAACGAACTACTTTTTTGGTCCCGATAATTAGCTGTATTATGCTGTATATATGCTTATAACGAACTACGGTTATAACGAACTAAATTTAGTAGTCCCTTTGAGTTCGTTATAACCGTACTTTACTGTATGTTCAAAATAAAATATCCAGTTATGTGTTTGATCATTTTTACCAATTATGTTGAATCTGACGGTTTAATAAGTGAACATGAATTAAAGATGCGTTGTGACATTTACGCATGATTCAAAGATTAATTCGACACATTAATTTTATATCAGTGATGATTCATATCATGTAAAATCAAATATAGTTAATCAAATACAATGACGTAACGACAAGTTCATTTTAGAAGAAGTTAAATTTATGAGAAATAGTCAAGGAAAACCTTGTGTTCTGAAATTTATACTGCGAAATAAACAAATTAACCGTATTTCATGATAAATTCATGAAAAAAAACGATTTCTAACTGACGACGGGTGATGTGTAGTTATACATTCGATGATCTTGTCATCCAATGAATTAGTTAGATATGTATTTTTTCTTTGCCATAAGAAAAATAATTTATAACGAAAAAAAACCAAAGCATGATGAAACTAAATAAGTATGTAAAAAAAGATGTTTTATTTAAAAGAAATATGACATAATACATACATAATAATGTTGTGAGTCTTGTCGTGTCGAGGATAAGTAGGTATATACGTCTTACAAGGGTTTGAAAATACCTCAATTATTCAAATTTGAAATATACTCGACTTGACTCACAGTGAAATTGTAGGTTAACCTTCCCTGTCTAAGCGTTTATAATAAAACACACCTTATCTCTTTGTGCGCACGCAATCTGACAATGTTCACTTAATGGCGTAAATATGTAAATTACGACGCAGATTTTACTTATATGGCATTCGGTAAATTCTAACGAACGCCTGTTAGAAATCAAACTATTTTAACACAACGTGAGAAATATCGACCTCGTTTCTTTCCAGCGATAATACTTCGCGTGACGTCATCATCGTCTGACTCGGTCATAAAAAACCTGACAAGATAATGTTCAAATTATTGGCTATATTGGCGCTGAGACGGCCCCTGATGCGTCCCTCAGTAATGGCTGTTTTAATCAGACCCTGCATGTGTGCTGTCATTAAACTTGACAAGCAGAACGAATCCTTCGCATCGCCACTAGCAACGGTTTCTAGGACGATGGTCGATCCTATTATTGATGAGGGGTGTCAGGCTGGACACAATTCAAACCCTGTCTGCAAATATTTGAAACTCGTTTGACCTAGATCTCCCCGACTCCGCTATAAAGAAATAAAGGTGAGTGCGTGACTTGTGGGTATTGGGTAGAGCATCATGAACGAAGGATGCGGAGAGATGTGGGAGCTGGCAACGGAAGGCGGAAGCAGGGAGCTCATGTGATGAACAATGAAATGTACATGCATGGGCGTCCACGTGACATGCATGCATGTGTCAAATGAAGCCTTCTCCGTGCGGAGAGGCGGTGAATCCCGACAGGCTGATAAGTTCGGGCAATGTTGACAATGAAAATATTTTCTCAGAATTGTCGATCAATTGTACGATGTCACTTTCTACACCGCAAAGCGTGAATGATTAAAAAATAATATTCACAAACAAATAAACACAAATAAAAACACTGGATATTGCTGAATATTAACAAATTCTATTCGTAACATATGCATATATTTCTTCGTTAAAGACAAACAATCCCTGAGACCTACATTTACCACATACAATCATCGATTTTAAATAAATATATGTAAAGAAATTGCCTTGACAGTTGATATTTTAAATCACAATCATTTTCGGAATATTTAGATATCATATAAACCGTTAAAAGTTACTGATATTTCAGAAGCTAAATTGGGTATTTCCATGTGGTCGTGACATTACGTATATTCGGCCTATGGGTTAAAGCGTTCGACCAGGTTTAGATAGCCATATGGATACACTAAGTTCCCCTACTTCAAACAGGGTGTCAACATCAGATACTGACGTCCTTCAACACTGACAAGGCTGTAATATATATCAGGCATATATCCACATTCACTTTCAACGGCAGGCACATTTGGGAATGAAATAATAATCAGACTTGTAGTTTTCAACACAAAGATAATTTAATTAAATATAGCCAAATAAATTTTCGATTCCGTTCATGAAGGAAGTATGAAATATACTGAACAAAAAAGTTAGGGAGATGAATATTTTTATGAAATTGTGTGCTTAGTCGTCACTACAAAAATATCCCCCAAAATACCCCATCTTTTTTCTTCAGTATAGTATGAAGTGATGAATGTAGGCCGGCTACCACTGTTAACACACAAATACCAAGTAATGTGGCATGTCTGATACCGTTATATTTCTATTCGATGCACTGAGTAATATGTTTGTATGACAAAACGAAGACGTGCCTCGTTTGACATCATTTACAGACACTCTCCATAATATATTAATATGCAAGGGAGTTCAAATTTGAAATTTCGTACAACCGTCTTGATGTTCTGTTGAACGAATTGAAAATGAGACGACTATTTGTTACAGACAGGACTGTACCGTTATCAAGTAACTGTTGGCTGGTGGGAGTGTGTTGTTCATTACAGTTATGTGAGATTAAACAATAAACACATGTTTATGATGGACTCATTCAGTGGACTCTGGTATCATCACCATTTGATAACTGGTTTATAAACACATTCTTATGATATAGTCGGAATTATACACTCGACTCGACAGCGTTGAGATTTTTTATGATTATGGAAATTTTTTTGACGCTTTAAATTATCGGGCACACAGCATTATGAGGTGGAGGTGATCCTCTATAACACATCTGTTTACATATACACATACAAGTGAGTGAGTGAGTGAGTGAGTGAGTGAGTGAAACTGAAATCCTGTGTTATACAGGGCATCTTGTATCAGAGTGTCAGTGGCACAGTTAAATATTAATAGCATGGTTGCAATAAAATTGTGACTAGGTTTATCACACGATCAGAGTGATAAGCGTACTTTCACGCCATTAAACTGGACAAAAAACTCAGTATGATTCATGAATAAACCCTGGTATTCAGTAATTGAAATGGTATTAACAAGACCAGTGAAACGACAGGAGTCATCTTTCTAGATTACAACTTAATATCCAGCTCATGGGGAAATAACGTTCACAAATTATAAAGATAGATGAAAACTGTTTCTTCCTGTTGGCATACTTCAATTCAAAAGGGTATTCCTCAACATCTCTGTAAATAATCTCTGACACATTATCCAGCTCATCGTGAAATAACGTTCACAAATTGTGACGATAGATGAAAACTATTTCTTCCTGTTGGCATACTTCAATTCAAAAGGGTATTCCTCAACATCTCTGTAAATAATCTCTGACACATTATCCAGCTCATCGTGAAATAACGTTCACAAATTATGAAGACAGATGAAAATTATTTCTTCCTGTTGCCATACATTGATTCCAAAGGGTTTTCCTCAAAGGGTTTTCCTCAACATCTTCTAAACAAACATTTCTATCAGTGTTGTAATTGTTTTGTTGTTAATATTCGGATATCAATATCCGTTTGGACACATACTAGATTTTTGGACACTGAATAACTGATCAAGATGGTCAGGAATCGCATTCTTTAAACTCTGTTCCCAGTGGATATAATTTAAATAAAATTAAATAATTTAATTAAATAGAATAATTTCAAGTACAAGGTCAAAACAGTGTTCGACAATTATCTTCGAACAGGTCAGCATTTTGCGTGTGTCAAGTCGAAGCCAGTACAGATCAATTACATGTGTCGTGTCATGTTAAGAATGTTGTATGTGTCGGAGCTGACATGGTTGCCTGGCATGAGTTGACAAGATGGATGTCTCCTTGTCAACAACAGACACCACAACATTCCTACTATTCCCAAGGGTTGGTGGTGTTGAGTAAATCACTGTAAGTTATGAAGACATTTGCAGCACATGCAGGGATATTTACATTAATACTTATTCACAAATACATTAAAATCAAATGTGGATTTAAGATTAAACATATATTGAAAACATCAAGGCCAGAGAGTAACCAGTCTCGACTATCTGCCGAAACAGGATCCAAAGGGCGTAACACAATTATACCAATGGATCACTGAAAATCAGTGACTACACCAGGTGTAAATGGTCAGCATGTCATTAACATATTAAGAAGTAGTCTGTCGTCGATTCCTGGATCTTGTCTGTGAATGAATGAGTTAAAATGTAACGTCGACATTATTCCAGCCATATAGCGACGAGAAGCGTATCTGCAAAGTAAATACGTTAAATACCAAAATTGTGCGAAATACTTTTAGGAGCACCGGTAAACCTAATATTTACAGAAATATTTATTGTGTTGTTGCGATGACAAACCAGAAACTATTAAGGTTAAAATTCACAAGTGATTTCTGATATTATGAACATGTTTGTAAAAATATAGGGGGGAAATCGCTAATACTTTAAACTTACTCAAAAGTATTTCGAAATTCCTATACCGTCTCCTTTATCACCAGTAATTGGGTGTATAGGTGTATAAATATGTCTTATCATCTCCGAAAGTTTCTTCTCAAGTATGCAAGTCGGGTGTGTCATGAGAGCGAGTGAATGAGAATGGTTATAGCAATATGACGGCGGGGGGCACAAGAAATTGGCTTCATACATTGTACCCATGTGGAGAATCGAACCAATACCCTGTCGTGACGAACTGTTGCTTGAACCACTAGACTACTTACCGCAACTAAGTGTCATAAGAATATCTCACGTGTCATGTTATATGTAAACATTTTACAAATGCGATGCAATTCCATTTCGTTTTTTTCTGTTCCTAGAAATACGATCATGCTGCGTGATGTTGATACGTTATGTGCGGTATCAGAAAGTATATGATAATTTCATATACTAATACAATGCACCATACAAATATGCAATAAATAGTAGACTGCAGATAAATCAAACATTTGATATTATTACACGTACATACAAAACATCATCCTAATGTAAATGTGTTCATCTTGCCTGTGTCCTAGTCAACAAAAGTGGGGTATAGTTAGTGAGAACTTGGTTAAATTGTGTTGGGTGACACTTTGTTTCTCAGTGCGATCACGATGAACACTCTAAGGGTTTCGCTATTCCTATTACTCACTGTGAACGGAAGGTTTATGTGGGATCCGTCAAGGAGATTACCTTTAACGCTTATCATCTTCAGCAAATACAGATTTTTTTTTTAAAACTGACTCGTATCACATAAACTTCCCTGTACACTGTTTATATTTATGAAACAGCCTTAAATCCCCCGAACACATTTCAGGGGAATATGAAGTGAAAAAAACACTTACCACTTGCGATATGAAACAGCAAAACTGAGTAATTTGGTTTGGCGTTTTTTTAACGTCCCGATCAGGAAGTATTCCTTCCGGAATATGTTAGTTGGGTTTTCCATTAATATTCATGTAAACAGAGCATTTTAACATACCATCTCAACAAATAAACCCATTGCCGAACGTAAAATGTCGAGATTTTCGATACAATCATGCGATTATAAACATAAGCATTGCGTAATTTTTTCATACATTTTCAACACACCGCCACACAAAACTGCAGATTAATATCCCCCTTATGAGTACCCCCTCCCATTTCCTAGAGAATCTGTTTCGGCAGATATTAGAGACTGACTATTCTCTGGTGTTTTTCGGGGTCGAATATGGTTTCAGCAAGTAACAGTTAGATATTGTACGATCTCAAAATATACTGAACAAAGAATTTAGGGATCATGAATATTTCTGGTGATATTTTGTAAACTTAAGACAAAGCAGACAATTTCATGTACAGTAAACTACGGTTATAACGAACACGCTTATAACGAACTAACGGATATAACGAACTAACTTTTTATTCCCGACTACTTGCTGTAGTTATACTGTATATATGCTTATAACGAATTACGGTTATAACGAACTAAAATTAGTAGTCCCTTTGAGTTCGTTATAACCGTAGTTTACTGTAAATAAAAAAATAGCCATGATTCCAACTTTTTTGAATATATTGTAGGGTCTCTTATTTTTAAAAAAAAAGAGTTTCATAAAGAAATAAATGGTAAACTTAGTAATAGTTTCCAACTTTCATGTTAAGATATGTCTATGGCATTTAGAACATGACTATGAAACTATAGATATTAAACCTCAACGCCAGGGAATAGAACAGTCTTCATTATCCAAGGAAATATATTCCATTGGACGTAAAAGGCAAAATAGCGATGAAAATTTATATGAATGGATCACTGACATCATTGTGGACCGGGTGTTCACGGAAAGGGTAAGCCTGTCCTGCCCCATCGGTAGCAGAACAACATGAAAGAACTAGTGATCACCATGTTTATAACAAGGGCAGTGACGTAAGAGTAATCTACTCGTCGCTACATCTGCAATACAGAAGTTATTCATTTATACACCCGTGAAGATCCGGGGTAGAATAGGTCTTCAGCAACCCATGCTTGCCGTAAAAGGCGTCTATGCTTGTCGCACGAGGCGACTTACGGGATCGGGTGGTCAGACTCGCTGACTTGGTTGATGCATGTCATCGTATCCCAATTGTGCGGATCGATGCTCATGATTTCAATCACTGGATTGTCTGGTTCAGACTCGATTATTTACAGACCGCCGTCATATAGCAGTAATATTGCTTAGTACGGCGGTAAACAACAACAAACCAACAAACATGTATACACGTTGCCCATCTATACTATGTTGTCATGAATTATACTAAAGAACATCAGTAATGATTCAAGATAGGTTAAGTTTACATTTCCAACGTGACGGCACCATCCGTTCGTGCGTCATTGCCATGTATCTTCCCATACAAGTACATCTTCCCTTACAACCAGCACATCTCCCCTTACAACCAGTACATCTTTCCTTACAACCAGCACATCTTCCCTTACAACCAGTACATCTTCCCTTACAACCAGTACATCTTCCCTTACAACCAGTACATCTTCCCTTACAACCAGTACATCTTTCCTTACAACCAGTACATCTTTCCTTACAACCAGTACATCTTTCTTTACAACCAGTACATCTTCCCTTACAACCAGCACATCTTCCCTTACAACCAGTACATCTTCCCTCACAACCAGTACATCTTCCCTTACAACCAGTACATCTTTCCTTACAACCAGTACATCTTTCCTGACAACCAGTACATCTTTCTTTACAACCAGTACATCTTCCCTTACAACCAGCACATCTTCCCTTACAACAAGTACATCTTCCCTTACAACCAGCATATCTTCCCTTACAACCAGTACATCTTCCCTTACAACCAGTACTTCTTTCCTTACAACCAGTGCAACTTTCCTTACAACCAGTACATCTTTCCTTACAACCAGTGCAACTTTCCTTACAACCAGTACATCTTCCCTTACAACTAGTACACCTTCCCTTACAACCAGTACATCTTCCCTTACAACCAGCACATCTTCCCTTACAACCAGTACATCTTTCCTTACAACCAGTACATCTTTCCTGACAACCAGTACATCTTTCTTTACAACCAGTACATCTTCCCTTACAACCAGCACATCTTCCCTTACAACAAGTACATCTTCCCTTACAACCAGCATATCTTCCCTTACAACCAGTAAATCTTCCCTTACAACCAGTACTTCTTTCCTTACAACCAGTGCAACTTTCCTTACAACCAGTACTTCTTTCCTTACAACCAGTACAACTTTCCTTACAACCAGTACATCTTTCCTTACAACCAGTGCAACTTTCCTTACAACCAGTACATCTTCCCTGACAACTAGTACACCTTCCCTTACAACCAGTACATCTTCCCTTACAACCAGCACATCTTCCCTTACAACCAGTACATCTTCCCTTACAACCAGTACATCTTCCCTTACAACCAGCACATCTTTCCTTACAACCAGTACATCTTCCCTTACAACCAGCACATCTTCCCTTACAACCAGTACATCTTCCCTTACAACCAGTACATCTTTCCTTACAACCGGTACATCATTCCTTACAACCAGCACATCTTCCCTTACAACCAACACATCTTCCCTTACAACCAGTACACCTTCCCTTACCACCAACACATCTTCCCTTACAACCAGTACATCTTTCCTTACAACCAGTACATCTTCCCTTACAACCAGTACATCTTCCCTTACAACCAGCACATCTTCCCTTAAAACCAGTTCATCTTCCCTTACAACCAGTACATCTTTCCTTACAACCAGTACATCTTTCCTTACAACCAGTACACCTTCCCTTACAACCAGCACATCTTCCCTTACAACCAGTACATCTTTCCTTACAACCAGTACATCTTTCCTTACAACCAGTACATCTTCCCTTACAACCAGCACATCTTCCCTTACAACCAGTACATCTTCCCTTACAACCAGTACATCTTCCCTTACAACCAGTACATCTTTCCTTACAACCAGCACATCTTCCCATACAAACAGCACATCTTCCCTTACAACCAGTACATCTTTCCTTACAACCAGTACATCTTTCCTTACAACCAGCACATCTTCCCTTACAACCAGTACATCTTCCCTTACAACCAGCACATCTTCCCTTACAACCGGTACATCATTCCTTACAACCAGTACATCTTCCCTTACAACCAGTACAACTTCCCTTACAACCAGTACATCTTCCCTTACAACCAGTACATCTTCCCTTACAACCAGTACATCTTCCCTTACAACCAGTACATATTCCCTTACAACCAGCACATCTTTCCTTACAACCAGTACATCTTCCATTACAACCAGTACATCTTCCCTTACAACCAGTACATCTTCCCTTACAACCAGTACATCTTCCCTTACAACCAGTACACCTTCCCTTACAACCAGTACATCTTCCCTTACAACCTGCACATCTTCCCTTACAACCAGCACATCTTCCCTTACAACCAACACATCTTCCCTTACAACCAGTACATCTTCCCTTACAACCAGTACATCTTCCCTTACAACCAGTACATCTTCCCTTACAACCAGCACATCTTTCCTTACAACCGGTACATCTTCCCTTACAACCAACACATCTTCCCTTACAACCAGTACATCTTCCCTTACAACCAACACATCTTCCCTTACAACCAGTACATCTTTCCTTACAACCAGTACATCTTCCCTTACAACCAGTACATCTTCCCTTACAACCAGCACATCTTCCCTTACAGCCAGTACATCTTCCCTTACAACCAGTACATCTTTCCTTACAACCAGTACATCTTTCCTTACAACCAGTACACCTTCCCTTACAACCAGCACATCTTTCCTTACAACCAGTACATCTTTCCTTACAACCAGTACATCTTTCCTTACAACCAGTACATCTTCCCTTACAACCAGCACATCTTCCCTTACAACCAGTACATCTTCCCTTACAACCAGTACATCTTCCCTTACAACCAGTACATCTTCCCTTACAACCAGCACATCTTTCCTTACAACCAGTACATCTTTCCTTACAACCAGTACATCTTCCCTTACAACCAGTACATCTTCCCTTACAACCAGTACATTATATAACGCGCATGTGGAGTCGGAAAGTCGATACACTGCCATTAACAATGTAGTCTCTGGCTTCTGTTGGATTATTCCGTGTGGTATTGATCCAGAAGACAGTAAACGAACGAAAGTTAGACCGCGTCTATTATGTCGTGACGTCAGTCAACAATACCTGCAGCGGCTTTGTGCAACGCCGACAGTACAGACCTATTCTTGAGAATACATTTCTGTAATGACTTTAGGATTTGTCACAACTCTGATCAGTTTGTCTATGAGACAATAACACCTTTGGCTCAGTAAATTGAAATCAACAAGAAGTAATTAACAAAATGAATATATATTTTTAATAACACAAATCATTTGCCAAACTTTAAAGAAGATGCCGATATAAACGCCTTGTCATGTCTATTGTTATTGTATTTATTATTTTGTTCGCGTTGTAAGATGAGATTAATTTCAGGTCTAGCAACTGTGATAATACACATGTATTTCTTGATTATCAGTGTGGCATTTTTAATGTCCAGTACATGTATACACCTTTCTAGATAATAGAAAGTTTATATCATTTTTAATTATTTCAAGTGTATACATTTTTTAATTATATCGAAATGTATTTTTGTAGATATAAAACATTTACTCTTTTTGGCGATACCAATCATATATCCTACTTTATTAAAACCAAGTTTCTATTTTGCTTAATAATACAGTTAACTACGGTTATAACGAACACGCTTATAACGAACTGACGGATATAACGAACTTACTTTTTGGTCCCGACTACTTGCTGTAGTCATGCTGTATATGTACTAATAAAGAACTACGGTTATAACGAATTAAAATAAGTAGTCCCTTTGGGTTCGTTATAACCGTAGTTTACTGTGCCAAGTATTTCTCGCCATTCAGTTTTAGTTATGAAATATACAATGTAAGATTAAGATAAATTGTTACCATTAAAAGTAGAAACATTGAGAGGAATAATTTCCCGATGTTTTGCACATTTTAGCAACTGTCAGTGCTGATTGATCAGCTGAAACTTCGTTGAGAACAGTACAATATGACGTCATCCATTCTTCATGACGTCACAATTAGGTAACATTTCGTCATCGGAACAACAGCGTGTTGGTTACTCTCTAATTATTGACTCGTCTCTCATGAGCAAGTGCTACTTCTAATATATCTGTAGATAATTATAAACATATACTCTGTATTTCCAAATTAAAATAAGTTTGTCCAAATCTCACAAAACAAATAGACCCGTGAAGATCCGGGGTAGAATAGGTCTTCAGCAACCCATGCTTGCCGTAAAAGGCTACTATGCTTGTCATAAGAGGCGACTTATGGGATCGGGTGGTCAGGCTCACTGACTTGGTTGATGCATGTCATCGTATCCCAATTGCGTAGATAGATGCGCATGATGTCAATGACTCGATTGTTTTGTCCAGACTCGATTATTTACAGACAACCCTTATATAGCTTCAATATTGCCGAGTGCGGCGTTAAGCAACAAACAAACAAACACAGTACAAATAATCAGAATATGTTAAGAGTAATAAAAAATTAGTAATAACGGCGATATGTAAAGTATGCATAGATAGATAAATCTTATCTACGTAATGGCATATGCATAATTATTTGTTCACCGTCTGTTATCGCGAATATATTTCTATGTAAATTCTTTCCTGCACCATGTGAAATGGTGCGTATTGTCATGATTTATTTATTCTTACGAATCATGGTCGAATTTTAACTCTCAAATTAAGAAAAGTTAATTGAATTGAAGTATTTTATCCACAATAATTAAAATCTATCACCGAAGCTGAATTATATGAATTATGTTGTAATCGAATAACCAAAACAGCTAAACATCTAACTACAATTTTTACCTGACATATGTCAGTATTGGACACCATCGTACGATCTATTTTTAATGATTGTTATAAAAACTGAAAGAGAATAATCAGGCTGATGGTTATAAAACAAATAACTTTATAACACTGGTGACACATTTGATGTCATTTTAATGAACGTACTTTTCTTCGCGTACCTTGATAATTGCGAGTTATGGTGAAATAATGTTGTTTTTTCTAATGAAACAATTATATTTCTTCTTAATATCACGTATTTTAAGTTATGTGTGAATGTTATTGAAAGGTTTATTTTATCATGTTATGTTTTACAGACATATGAAAAAATTGTCCTCTGTAGATTGCCGCAATATGTAAAGATATGTAACCTTTCACAATGCACTTGGTACACCGTCTACCTGCTTGTTGCAAAAACACAAGGTTTGTTTGCTGCAAAATTATAATAGTTGTCTCAATGAAGTTTTCAGTTATGCATTTAAACTGCCAGGCAAAAAAACGTACACGCCCTTTGATGGTAGCTAAAATAATACCAACAAGAAATGGGGATGTGGATCTTTCGATGGGGGTGCATGTGATGCGGTATCATAGTTATGTTTTTGGACCTTATGCTTGTTTTGCTGACGTGTTCAGCCTTATAACTTTTTGCAAACTTTTGTATTTTTGGGGTCAAATCCAATTTTCAAGTTTATACTTTCTTGGCACGGCAGTTATATTTTTAACATACGGAAAAGCTCCACTGAACATTGAGGGTACATATCACAACATCAAACCCCTATTCCGTAACTCCTACATGTCTCTTAGTGTTCTTAGAGTATTTAACGAGTAATCAGTGAAAAACAAACATTTATAATTGTGTGCACATTTGTTGAAAATATCTTTGGCAAGTTATTGTGTTTGTCACTAGTAACTAACAAATATAGCATACACTTCTCAAATTATTAACACGTCCGATGAATATATTAAATATTGCTTGTAAATATAAAATGTCATCTCAGGGAATAATCTCGATTAACCGCCGAAACAGATTCAATTGGGCGTGAAAGACAAAATAGTCGTGAAAATTATATTATCATGAATGAAAGTTTGTGATGAAAGTCATTATGATATGATAAATGTATCATTTTGACAATATTAGATTGTTACGTAATAGTCACCATAATTCATATAAAATGTCACTTTCTACTCGTGACTATATTTTCAAAGTTGTCTTGTTTTAATAATGACATTAGAAGACTTTGACTAAATAATGTTGTTTTTATCCTGTAGCTTTAAAACTGTAAACAAATAGGTGCGCTATCACAGTCAAATAAGTAAATAAGCTGTAGCACAGAGTGTTTTGTCTACGAAAGCAGAGACCATAGATTATATAGTCTCTGACGAAAGCTAATGAAGTTGTAATGAATCCTCCAGGTGAATGCATGTATATAGAAACATTCTACATCTACTATGTGAACATGTTCACCATGTTTCTCAGGTTTCTGTGACAACGATACCGTTACTTAAGAAAACATTTCGGGTGTCGCTTTCAACATATTTAATCCCTGTTGTATTTGACGAAAGTCACGTGATTAGGTCGTGCTTAACACACCGAGACAAAACCATACCCTACATGTGCACGGGTTGTGCGAATGCATGTAAATGCGATATTAACAACAATAAATTCGCATCTGTGTCCATTTTCATGTAAATGATACGCTTTTTGTAAACCTAATATTTTTCTCTATGAGCTCAGGGTCTTGTCTAACATAACAGGTAGCGTAGGAGATAGTTTACTGTTATTTTAAGTATGTTCTTAATTTGTACATGTTGTTTAAATAACGCTTGTTGGAATATAATCGAATTAAACTATTTCTGCATGATTATTCCTTAATATTTATAAATTAAATCGCAGCACAAGGCTGCGATTGGCTGATGCAGTGTTGAACAGTATTTGCTCGCCCACTCCTTAAACCTTTAGACAGTTTTATGCTCATCGCTTGAAATGTTTGTTCACGCTTCGGACTTCAAGTTAATGCGGACATTGTTTGAAAAGATGCATCTTTTGGCTTTAAGGACAGAGGGGAGCGTTGGCAGTTTTGTATTTCAGCGAGACTAGTTTATTTAAAAGAGCTTTTTGGTGTTGAAACTGATTAGTGAAAATATCAGTTGTGTAAACAGTGTCCTACTTAGACAAATCAAGGTAGCGATAAACGTTCCGATATATCTCAGACCGAGCAGTGAGCTATCTTTCGTAGATAACACAAGTTGTTTATTTGAAAATAAGATCAGACGAATATTGAAGCGGTGTAGTTTGACATATGGACTAACGGTTTATTACCAAACAGTTATCGCCATTTCTTCATATTCAAACATCGATGCACTCTGGACCACAAAGGAATTTCGTCTCTCATACCTAACCCCCCTTTGCATATTGAAATGGACCCGTCCGTATTGATCGTCTGCTTTTGTCGGAAATAACTCGACTGATAACATTTTTGGCGCGAGTTACCGTGTGGCTTGGCCGGGCGCTTAAAACGTCAACATACCAGTGCTCCCCGCGGAAACGAGGTCGCCATCTCTGTATAAGGGGACTGGGTTCGCTTGAGAATTGATTTACAACCGCAGAGTTCTCCGATGTCGAGTGAGACTGCTTCGCGTTTGCAGATGAAGCAGACGACATTCTGAATGTTCGTTCAGACAAATTCGGACACTCGGCGTATACTGTCGTTTTAGACGGAGCTATTTTAATTGGGCTGCTAATTCATTATTTTTATAGCCTAGGCTATAAAATATTATATCAAAGGATGGTGATTGAATTAGACGAATTTCCTGTCATTTCTTACGCGCCAGTGACGTCACTGCCTTAGAATGGTGGCCAGTATTTATTTCTTAGATGATTGTCTGGTGATTGCGGAAAATCGATAGCGCCTCGTCGGGAGTTTATATTTCTCAGGCAGACCTCCCGTCCGTCATCGTGATGTATTGATAAACGGCTAGCTGGTCCATTATATGTGCCGCGGACCCCAGTAAAGAGACCTGGCATTAGTTCCTGTAGAGAGCGGAGTGCCAATTAGCCCCGAATTTGCTCTGGCGCTCGCAAATTCCCGCTGCCAGTTCTGTCAGTATCTGCACGTATGGTCACATTAATGGTCAGCATTTTGCGGTTGTGACCGGACT